TAAAGCAAAGAATGTACAAAGAATGCCTTAAAAACTACTTTCAGGAAGATTAATTTACATGAAAGTGCATTCACATCATAGCTTTAATGTATAATTGGTTAGCATATCACACCTGCATTTTGTGAATCCATTTGCTGTTGACAAATGAGTTCAAACTCTGCCACAAAGCTTTCTATTCATCATCTCAGTGAGACTTATGGCCATGTATATATGCTAATTTCTCAATTCACTCCCAACTGACTTGACTGTTATCTTGTGAATTTCACATACGATTTTGCATGGTGTTTATTTGCTCTACAGTTCAAAGCTTTAGAGCTTCCCAGAGTCAAAGTGAATTATCTCTAAGCGGCGGGCCTCTTTTAGCAGCTGCTTAACACAACCACCCTGATGGTGCTGGTCAACACTGAAGCCAACCCACATTTCTTTTTTATTTTCACATTTTCCCTGCATTGCCACAACAGAACAGGATTCATGCATGTTGGGCCGTGTTGTGGTTTGTATAATGAAGCCCGGGCTTTCTGTAAGTGACTCATAAGATGACTGCTCAAACACAATCGATGCTACCGGCTTTTATCTGAATGCATTCATACACACCCACACTATCTCTCTGGATCTATACTGTCAGACTGATGGGCTGAGTCCCTTTTTCAGATTTGGGATTTTTCATACTTTCATACAACGATTCAGACACTACCGTCTTTCTATATTTCTATCAATTTCCTTTCTTGTTCTTTCCGGCCCACTGCTTCTCAAGCTGCCCATGCTGTGTAATTGTCAGAGGGCACCTGTTGGTCATGTCCCCCTTATTACCTTCACTTCCTTTTTTGACCACCAAGTCTTCATTATGGTTGTTCAAATGTGATGCATGGCACTCTATGATTTACATAAGTGACAGCTGCCTTCATTCCCAGTCAAATCTCCCCTGTATATCTTGAATTTCAGTAAAGCATGATTCAATGATGAATGGGGAAATGGATAATGCCTGTACACTGATTCTTCACAGATAAGTAAGGACTTCAAACCCTTTTCATTCAAAACATTCCTACGCATGATAAATGTTCAATGAACCAGAGCTTGGCAGAAAGATTACAGGATACGAAAGCATTTGCAATCATCATGGGTCATATAGTGAGGGCTGTTATACATTTATAAGTTATGCAATGCAAGATATTGCAGAAAGAACGTTGGATTCTCAACCTAAAATGGGGAATGAAATAACCCAAGATGCAATACTTTATTGAAGAAAATAGGGTTTTACTGCTATAATATATTACTCTACTTTTTTGAAAGATTTAATATAGGACAAAGATGTGGCTCTCCTGATCTACTCAGGCAGTAATTCCTAAGGGAATGGGTCTGTTATTGCCCCTGATTTTCCAACTACATTTTGAATCTCTCAAGCACACTCACTAGAACTGCTCAGGCTACAATTAGGCTGCTATTAAACGTTCAATGACATACTCTGTTATGTTCAAATTAGCTTCACAACTGCAAGAGAGAAGAACCAAGGCTTTAAGAGAGCACAACCTTGAGTTAGCATTGTGTTCATGCATCATTGGTTGCAAGCACAAAAGTGTGGTTAAAAAAAGAATGAACCAGTATATTGTTGTTTTTTATTCTAAGCATTCAAGGTTCAAGGTTCAGGGCTTGTATTGGTCATACGAACTTAGCTACAGTGTAGTTATGACGATGAAAATCTTAGGTCACAAAAACCTCAAAACCTTTTTGACATGTTTTTGTTTCATTATCCAATAGTCTTCAGCCCCCACCAATGCTGACTCAAGTGACATTGAACGTTCCTCTAGTAAATTAATTAAATCCTTCTTTTATCTCCAAATTGAAGCAATTTACCAGACTTAATAAATATATATATATATTGTTAATAACATTGTCAGTGTCAGCTACTCACACAAATAGCGTGTCCAAGTATCTTTATAAATATTCACTTGAGGTTTATTCTGAATCTGAATTGGAATAAAGGTGTCATTTTGTGAATGCAAGGTTATTCTTATTCACGTATATTCCTACACATAAACTATCTCTTTATGTTCTAAAGTCTTTGCAGAGTGTTTTCCCTGTGGACTGAATGCCACAACTCAAGTGCTGAGAAAAATGTTTTTCTCATGACAAAGAAAAACATGAAGGATAAGAGGATGAACAAATCAAAATAACTATGACATAATTGCTTTCATCTAGATAAAAGATGTTATTGTAGACATCTTATTTAAATGCCCGCGTCAGACTGAGAAACGACTCACATAAATGGCAGCATATGGAGTCTGTATCAGGTTCAGTACTGCCGTGGAGTTGGTCTCTGAGGGGGCTGTAATTCATAAAATGTGGCTTTCATCCAATCAGCATGCAGTGACCCCAGGTGCAGGACAGCCAGATGAAAAACAACTTAAAATCTCAGCTGGTGCTTTAGCCATGCTCACGGAAATATGATGATGAACTACAGAAATTATACCAATTGCTGTGTAAGATTTAAATACATGATGAACAGTGATTGATTATACCTTAATTCCTAAATGCCCTGCAAATATTACATTTTGTCTTATCCGTGCATATTTGGATGATGTATGATATAGCTTAAAACTATTTGCTTGCCTTTTTTATTTGAGCTTAACAGGTCTCACATGTGCAAAATATCTGTTCACACTACTTTTTTGTTGATAATGAGCAGAGTTGAGAAATAAAGCTTGAGATAAAGTTTGCAAGAAACACAATATCATTACCTTAACAGACATAAAAACAAAGGTTTGAATACATAATTATCCTCTCTTAAAGGTAGGGTATGTACATTTGAGAAACCGGCTCGAGATACACTTTTTGTTATATTCCATGGAATGCTCTTAACATCCCGATAGCAATGAATATCTTAAGTGCTTTGACAAAAAATCCATAAAAAAATGTCATCTGTGGAAGCCGTAATACTGTAAAAAGCACGACCAATCATCTGAGCCGGCCCGGCTAAAATAACTGGATGGCCTACCTGCCTGTCAGCCTTCCATCTGTGCACAAACTTATCTCGTGGCCTCATTGGTCATGTGCGCATTCGTGTGTGTTGGAGGAGGGGCTCTATAAGGAAGTGGCAGATTTTCTCCGGTTGTGTATTTTCAAATTCTAGCGATCTCGAGCCGGTTTCTCAAACTTACCTACCCTACCTTTAAGAGATCCTTCTTTTTTTTATATTTAAAAGCGGCTACTGTTACCATCTCATGCAAATTACTGAGAAAATGCCTTTAAGTGTTAAGTGCTACCGCAGAGGTTTGCACATGTCACAGGTGAGAGTGGAAAACAATGATCCGTAGCAAAAAACTGTATTGTACCTGCATTTGGTAGCTAAGGTAAAAACTAAACTAAAACTAAACGTTAAACACACAAATAAAGAGAGTGAATCTGCCGTTGACAATGGCAAAAAAAAGAATCCTCAGTGTTCATTTAAAGGTATTTTAAATGACACTGTGAGGACTGCACGCTTTTAAATCTGTACACAGGTAAGGCATTGAGAATTCTTCAGATTTCTTCTTTAATGATATAGTGTCAGTGGGTCTACTCATCAAATGTATGCTGTGCTCACTGAAAAAAAAGTGGTTACACTACATAGAAACTACAAGGCTTTATAGATAAATAAAAAAGAGAAAAACAATCCTAACAAATATTTTCATTCTTAGACTCCACAGCGCTGAGAGACCACAGATGAAACAAAAGCAAGTGTCTTTGTGTTTGATTCCCTGGAACTTGCAAAAAGTTCAAAGAGTTAATTCATGAATATTTTACCAGAACTTCATCTGAACATCTGAATGTACTGAAGTCCATCAATAGCCTTTCTGTCTTCACACCCAGGCCTCACAGTCTCACTCTTTCTCTCCCTTTTTTTACTTTCACTTTGCCTCTCTCTCCTCCAACAACCACACCACACAAGGCTCCTCATCCAGAGGCAGCGTCCCCTGAAGTGCCTACAGACCATGCTGCCTGGGATTGAAGTGTGCGATAGGAAGGAGAGCCTGTGGGCTAGTTGCGTCTACCTTTCTGATGATGAAGCTACAGGGCTTCCTTTGAGTAATTCATCATTGTAATCAAGCAAAGCAGAGCATCAGTTACACGGCACATACATTTAATGGCTTCCGGTACATGATGTTCCTTTGTGTGTGTGGGTCAGTTCAGGACTGTGATCAGTTCACACTTGAATCTGATATAACCCCAAAAATATGACCAAAAAAAACATGTGTCTTTTTGCAAAGGAACAGTCTTTATATAATTAGGGTCCTCTTATATTCTCATTATTACGGTGTTTTAGTCTGGCAAAACACATTGCAGAGAGTGGGAGGATAGGGGTTTATTGGAGGGGTGCAACTAAGTTTTGTCCTGAGACCCTCAATACAGTCAGTATGGTCATGCTAAAACTAAATGCAAATATGTGAGGGAAAATGTGTAGTGGCAGTAATATTGCATTATTTTGGTGCTTATAATATTCAAATGAACTATGAGTTGACTATCACTGAAGTGCCTTTTTCTTTATCTCCTGTATCTCTGTCCACACCCTTCCAAAAGTGGTGCTTCCGTAGTATAGCCTCAGCAATGCAGCACCACAGTATTGAATAAAGCCAACGTGACAGGATAGGTCTGTCACATACAGTATGATGATAAAGTGAGGCAAAGGGAAGGAGGGCTGATGACACGGAGCTGGCAGTGAGAGAGACGCACATTGTACTTTGTGCTGGAGAAAAGGGAAGCGCTGCAACATCACATTTCACTTCCCTGACACTTACGGGATAAAACAAAGGATAAGCCAGGATGTAGAAATCCATCAGAGGACGTGCACAGATCTCGCTCTAAACCATTTTTCCTGGAGTCTTTTGGTCCCACAGACGGGTTCATTCTGCTCCACCAGCCGCGTTTTTGGCGCTCTGCTCGGTGCCTGTGTGTGAGGAAGAGGCGCTGCTTCATCGCGCTGGAAGGACCCGAGCTCTTCTTCTCTCACAGAGGACTTACAGAAAGTCTGATCTGGTTTGGAAGAGTTGGGATTGTGTCCCTCTCCACTTTATCGGTGAGTGTTTGTTTGTGCTGCGGTCTCAATTTATTTCTTAGAATATGTTTTCGTTCGTTTAAAAATAGCATACGTTAGTTGATTAAATGCATTTCGTGTAGAAGTTACTCAGCTACTTGCATGCAAAAAGTACTTTCACTGTACCAAACATGTGTGAAAGCATTTTATATGTAAATTAAGCGTATATGCAGTCAGATATGTATAATGTGTAAACATAATTTACTTGTAAATGTAGGCTACTGTCACTGACCGGGTGATTAAGGTTATTTCTAAAACGATGCATTTATTAAAATGAAACCAACCAACATTTTGTAAGGATATCTCCAATCTGGCTCAGTTTCGTCCTTATTCTGATGCAACAGGTTTGTTTCAGTGCCTGACAGTCAGCGCGTCTCCCTATCGGTCAGATAATGATGCTGCTCAGGATAGGGTTGGGCTTTTGTGTCTTTGCTTTGAGTTGATGGTGCTGAACTGATTAACCACATTAGTCCTAAACATCTAACTGGAGGAATTCATGTCTGTAGCTAATATGGGTTCGTCTCCTTCACAAATGAAACTCAAAAATGTTTAACAGTCACAGTGTTAGCAATCCGTTTCAGGTTTTAGCCTAAGCTTACTCTAAATAATAGGGTATTTAAAGATGAGGTTATGTGCTAAACCTGAACAGATCTGAACAAGGGTTGTAACAATCAATTATTTTTCATTATTTTCACGATTAATCGAGTAATCGGCAAATCATTTTTAAATTGTGGGGAAATTGGGAGAAATGTCCATTTATAGTTTCCCCAAATCCAGTTGATGTCTTTAAATGTCTTTTTTTGGCAGTCTAAACCTCAAATATACTAAACTTAATATTTAAAGCAGAAAAGCAGGAAATCTCTATCTGGGAGGTTTAAATCACCATGATTTACCATTCGGCATGAAAAGTAAATTTAATGATTGATTGATTATCAAACAAAGTTGGCAATCATTTGTCTGTTGATAGACGTTTTGATTGGTCGAATAATCTTTGCAGATCTAAACTGAAATAGTACTAGACTTCACCTTTATCCTCCTTTCAGATTTCCCAGCACTACTGCTTTAGCTGTTGCCTTAAAGCTTTGTCCTCAAAATTGGATGAGATTTGGGGTAGATTCTGATGGATTTGAAAGCAGGGGGGAATGACTGAAAATTGAAGAGGGATTTAAAACTAGTTTGGAACTAAACGTGACAAAAGCTTCATGCTGCCTTTTTTAGTGACAGGATTTCAAACAGTGATCATTTGATGATCATTTCTTGTGTTGTGTTTTCAGCTTTTATTTCCTCTTCTTGTTGTGATTTAACCCCTTAGATGTCAGTTGATTTTGAGGAGAGTCGACTCTGAAGGTGAGGAGGACCACTTTGAAGACGCAACTTCACCATGGCGTCAGGAGTAGCAGCCTGGCTGCCTTTTGCCAGGGCAGCAGCCATCGGATGGATGCCTGTTGCCAACTGCCCCATGCCTATTGCACCAAAGGAAAACAGGAAGAGAAAGGATGAGCTGATCGTGCTTAATGTCAGCGGTCGTCGCTTTCAGACATGGAGAACCACTCTGGACCGCTTTCCTGACACCCTGCTAGGCAGCTCTGAAAAAGACTTCTTTTACAATGATGAAATCAAGGAGTACTTTTTTGACCGGGACCCTGATGCCTTCAGAAGCATCCTCAACTTCTACCGGACAGGGAAGCTCCACTACCCTCGCCAAGAGTGCATCTCAGCCTACGATGAGGAGTTGACTTTCTTCGGCATCATCCCTGAAATCATCGGCGACTGCTGTTACGAAGAGTATAAGGACAGAAAGAGGGAGAATTTAGAGAGGCTGCAAGATGATCAGGAGGAAAACAAGGACATGAAGTTGCCCAACATGAACTGCAGGGAGACAATGTGGCGAGCCTTTGAGAACCCGCACACCTCCACCATGGCCCTGGTCTTCTACTATGTCACTGGTTTCTTCATTGCCATCTCTGTCCTCACTAATGTGGTAGAAACGGTGCCCTGTGGTGTCACCGCCAACCAGAAAGACATGCCATGTGGTGAACGCTACACAGTGGCGTTCTTCTGCATGGACACCGCCTGCGTCATGATATTCACAGTGGAGTACCTGTTGCGCCTGTTTGCTGCTCCAAGCCGCTACCTTTTCATGCGCTCAGTGATGAGCATCATCGATGTGGTGGCCATTTTGCCATATTACATCGGCCTGGTAATGAGTAACAACGAAGACGTGAGCGGCGCCTTCGTGACGCTGCGCGTGTTTCGTGTGTTTCGTATCTTCAAGTTCTCTCGTCACTCGCAGGGCCTGCGGATCCTGGGTTATACACTCAAGAGTTGTGCTTCAGAGCTAGGCTTCCTCCTTTTCTCGCTCACCATGGCCATCATCATCTTCGCCACGGTCATGTTCTACGCAGAGAAGGGCTCCAGCTCCAGCAAGTTCACCAGCATCCCAGCTTCCTTCTGGTACACTATTGTGACGATGACTACACTGGGGTGAGTAAAAAACCCTTGCTGTCTTATTTCTACTTTGTTATGTTTCAATTGAAAATTAAATATTACATTTAAAGCAAACTCTGCAAATTCTTAATGGGGATGTACCTAGTGTGTGTGCGTAATGTGTCAATATGGGCCAGTCAGTCTATCAAGGGGCAACAAACCATGCAGCCAGTGTCCATCGCCCAAACCAGGGTGAGCGGAGTTCAGTCTCTTTTTTCCTGCTGTACTGTATATTTGGTGGTTACAGAACTAAAGGAAATGTTTCTGAACATAATAATAAATGCACGATTTGCATTTTTTGTGTATTTAAAACATTTATTTATGAGAACTCATTGAATATAAAAAGAGCATTCAGACTAATGCTACAGCATGCTATAGCTTATTTGAGCTTGCCAAATAAGGAGACTGAGGTTGAATAAATAAAATAAAGTTATGCTAAACATTTAAGAAATATATCAATTCCCTTTCAGTTTAAACCTAATCCAAGACACAGAGCAGGGCTGTATAAATATGACTAATCTTGTAAAACATTATGATTGGTCAACCTATTCACAATCATCCAATAAACCAACTAATCTTTTTACATTGTCCACTTACAGTATTTATACTTTATCAGTTAGATGGCACAACATATTATGTATTAATAAGAGTAGTTCAGTTTGATTGGTTTACAGAGAAAAACATATATTTTTGTACCGTATTTCTGTATGTGAAAATGCCTTACAATTAATTAAGAATACTGGACAGGCATATGTGCTGGCTGTCAAGCTGCACATCAAAGTCACGTCAAAGTTTAGTGTTCTCACAAATGAAGAAATTAGAACCAACTGAAAAGTCAAGCATGGATCTCCTAATCAGAATACCTTCATTCGTCTCTCTGCAGCATAATGGCTTAAAAGGCTCGGTGTGTTGTGTGTGTGTGTGTGTGTGTGTGTGTGTGTGTGTGTGTGGTGTGTGTGTGTGTGTGTGTGTGTGTGTGTGTGGGTGTGTGTGTGTGTGTGTGTGTGTGTGTGTGTGTGTGTGTGTGTGTGTGTGTGTGTGTGTGTGTGTGTGTGTGTGTGTGTGTGTGTGTGTGTGTGTGTGTGTGTGTGTGTGTGTGTTGTGTGTGTGTGTGTGTGTGTGTGTGTGTGTGTGTGTGTGTGTGTGTGTGTGTGTGTGTGTGTGTGTGTGTGTGGTGTGTGTGTGTGTGTGTGTGTGTGTGTGTGTGTGTGTGTGTGTGTGTGTGTGTGTGTGTGTGTGTGTGTGTGTGTGTGTGTGTGTGTGTGTGTGTGTGTGTGTGTGTGTGTGTGTGTGTGTGTGTGTGTGTGTGTGTGTGTGTGTGTGTGTGTGCGTGTATTTGTATGGTACGTGTTATAAGAGGAGCTTTTGTATTGTACGTACAAAAGGATAGAAATGCCAAGGTGAAAGCCTTATGTAAATTGTGAACCCTGAACAATGTGTTCGAGTGTGGAGCTATTATGTCCAACACACAATAGACGACTGCACTGACCATCTATATACACTTCAGTCTGTAGTGATATTCATCACAGACCAAGGACAGTCGTTGACAATCAGCGAGACTATCAATTGATGCATGTTCAAAGCTAATACAATCGTTGTGTGAGTACTCTAATTCAACAATACAGCCTCTTAGGTCTGCATTCATCGGAAAATCTTATGTTAAGACTTAAAGTTGTCTTTTTGGACACAAATCTGCTTATTGTATGCTTTCCAAACTGCATATACATTATTTTTAATCTCAGAGTGCTGCCAATAATCAAGAGGGAAAGCTTGAATTCTTACTGCAAGTAGCTGAGTGTTTAAGAGGGATATTTTAAATGGACTATTCGTTACAAGCAAATCTCTGAGCTTTTGTACTGTACTGACAATCTAAATATGACCTGCATAGTAGCCAGCTGCGGCACCATGCACTGTAAACTCTTTTGATCAGCACAACCAAAATCAAGGGCTTTACCCCCCCCCACAAACTCAGAAAAAAATATGTAAAAGAAAAAAACAAACACTAGAGTCTTTGTTATGAAGAACTCAAACCCACGCAAGCAAAACAAAAGCAAGTAGGTGAAGATAAATTATATGTAATACTGGTGGTTAGCACAGTATGTTCCCCCCCCCACCTACTCTTTAGTTTTGCAATAAGAGAGGCTAATCTGTGCATAATTACAACTGCAAGTGAACAGCCAGCAGTTTTCATGAGGCTCAGTCTGCTCTCCTGCTTGTTGCCTGTCGATCTGTTCAACTGCTGACGGGACACATGCTCAGGTGATGAGGTCACCAATAACCCATCTGTCGATGCATATAAAGAGCCACAGGGGAAATAAGTCTCTGCAGTCCCTACAGTATATAACATGTAGAAACACCCCAGTGATCCAAACCAGTCTGTGCTTTATTATGACAAAAAGATGCAGGTTTTCATCAAATGTCATGATTTACACAATATTGTGGAATATGTTTTTGGCTTACTGAGAGTTTTCAGCGAATCCAGAGCATTTGGCAGCAAACACACATATAGTACATGGGCACAATTTTACTCTAAAACACTTTGCAATCTCCATCATTTATACCCCAGATGTACCAACATTAAAGGGTTAATCCACCAATTGTAGTACTGCACTTTAATACATTTGGTTGAGTCGAGTTCAACCTCAAAACATTAGATCCTACACTCGCATAATGCATTGTGTAAGCACAATTATGGCAGCCAACAACTCCATGCACATACTTTTTCATACAATTATCTAAATGGGACTGTAAAACAATCTATTTGTATTCAGCTGAACACAAGGCTGCTTTTATTGTGAAGCAGTCACAAGAGAAAATAACATATTCTTGGCAAGACATGGGCATTTTGGTCATTTTTGACAGTGGATCAGGTTTAAATATAGCAAGGAGGAGCAGCCACAGTGAGCTGTTGGAGGAAGAGTTACAGGAGACAAGCTGCACACCTCCTCAGCAAGGTAGTTAGAGATGCCATCCCGATGAGGTAGTCCCTAATCTGCACTAAAACCTGGCGTTTGACATAAAGACACACAAACAACTAAACAGTAATGAACAATGTAAAGGCCCAAAAATAAAGATGTATTTATTCCAAAAGCACATAATGAAAAAAATGAACTTGAAAATAAATGTTGCAACAATGTAAACACTTCTGGCAGCTTACAGTCAAGCCTTACAGCATTTTAATCAGATAAATATATCCATCCCAAAGAGCACATACACACATGTGTATGCTGAACCGTTCACACATACAGCGACTCTCCGTGTCTGCGTGAGCCCAGACAGCGCAGCGCAGCAGTTGAAGGTAATGGGCTGGAGCTGAGGGAGAGGAGGGGGGGGGGGGGGGGAAGGGACTGACTGGCTGTATAATCAGATGATTTTTACCATCCAGGAACAGGTGTGTTAAATCAATATCAGGTGGCTGATAAAAAGATCTGGATTGAATCCCAGCAAGGTGCACTCGCCGCGGCTGCCTGCTGTTGAAGCAGATCTGATACGTGGTCATAGGAATCAGTGGGACAGAACCAGAAAGATTGATGAGGAAGGAGAAAGTCCTTTCTTTCTCTCCTTACCTTTCTTGCTCTGCTCCCTTCCTCCCCTCATCCCCCCTGAGTATCCCAGAGGAGTAGCTATTTTAGGAGCAGGCTCTGTGTGCGAAAGGAAGTTATCCGTTTTAACTATAATCGAACAGGCGCAATAGAAGATAATGGCAGTTTTGTTTTACCTGCATGGGAAGCAAAGGTTTGTCACTGGCTCTCCCAAGTCTCCCACGCCTCCAAAGAAACATTATGAACCCAATAATGAGAGATATATTAATGAGGTGTGCATTGAAATCTGACTCTGGCGTTATAATTAGAGTGATTCTCCCAGTTGTAGAGTCCTGGTCCTGGACGGAGGCGTGTTCTGTAGCAGAAAGTGAGAGACAATGTTGTTATGCATGTAGGTCATGTTCCCATCCCTGCCTTAATCAGTGGCTATATATAATCTGCTTCTTTCTTCAGAGAGACTTTTAGCTCGCTCCCCTCTGCGTTCTCTGATCTCCATTAGACAGTGTGGACTGGGCCTAGGGGCCAAAGGCAGGAAGAGGGAGGTCAGAGGAGTCGGGCCTCAGGTTCACATACTGTAAACTCTGTAATGCAGGGTTGGTCGCAACGAGAAGGAAGTGGTGAAGTGAGAAAAGGCCAAACTAAACTTTCTTTGACTCTTTCTCCAGTGTTGTTACAGTGTCAACCTTCATTGAGTACACTACTGTATGCACAGGCTGCACGTAATGATTGTTTTAACAATCCATTAATCTAGGGAGATTGTTTTTGTGAATCAATTAAGCTCATTTTATACTTCCTTTGTCTTTGCTGCCACACAGATCTGCATCATATAAATTCTGTCATCTGCCCATGTTTGTTCGGGCCTTATTCTGTATGTGTAAACAAGTCAACAAAAGAGAGAAACAATTGCGTCAAGTAACAAATGCCTAAAATCGTGTCTGACACTCATGTCTAACGCTCTTCTGACTAAGCAGCCTTTGTAATTATGGCCCACGTCCATCAGGGTAAAAAAGCAGGAGTAGTGAAATGTTGTCGGGGTAATTTGTTTTGAGTTTTGAAAGGCACTGACATATGGTGTTATAGAGGTGTGTGTTCTGAAAATAATTGATATGTAATTCTAAAAGAAATGTCATGTTACAAAATGGAAAAAAACACCCATCAGAAATTCCCAAGGTATTTTATCAAATGTCTTGTTTTATTTATTTTCAACAGACTTTAACCAAACAATATTTCATTTACATCAATATTCCAAAAAAGCGACAAAATGTAACATTTGACAAGCCATGAATGTTTGGCTTGATGATCAGTTGTTCAAAATTGACCTTTGAGCGCAACAATTGTGCATTAACATGTCTATCCCGATGAAGACAGTAGCCACACAGACTCCTTTCACTGTGTGCATTAACATCGCTGTGTTTTAGTTTGAATCTTTTGGAAGCTGGCATCGTTCAACAACTA